AAGCACAGGCAGTCAAGCCAAAATTAACATTTGGGATTACATCAAATTGAGAAGTTTCTGTACTTCAAAAGATACAGTCAGGAAAGTGAAGAGGCAACCGACAGATTGGGAAAAAATATTTGCAAACTATGCAACAGATAAAGGGTTGATAACCAGAATCTACAAAGAAATCAAGAAACTCCACAACAACAAAACCAACAACCCACTTAAGAGATGGGCCAAGGACCTCAATAGACATTTTTCAAAAGAGGAAATCCAAATGGCCAACAGGCACATGAAAAAATGTTCAAGATCACTAGCAATCAGGGAAATGCAAATCAAAACCACAATGAGGTTTCACCTCACCCCGGTTAGAATGGCTCACATTCAGAAATCTACCAATAATAGATGCTGGAGAAGATGTGGGGAAAAAGGGACACTAACCCACTGTTGGTGGGAATGCAAACTGGTTAAGCCACTATGAAGTCAGTCTGGAGGTTCCTCAGAAACCTGAATATAACCCTACCATACAACCCAGCCATCCCACTCCTTGGAATTTACCCAAAGGAAACTAAATTGGCAAACAAAAAAGCTGTCTGCACATTAATGTTTATTGAAGCTCAATTCACAATAGCTAAGACCTGCTGATCTGATTTCATCATCATTTAAAAAAAATCGTCTATTATTTTTCACTTTATGTTTCTGTGTGGGAGCAAACTGTTGAAATACTTACTTAAGGTATACTAAGCTGATCTTCTGTATATTAAGATAATCGAAAATGAATCTTGATGTGAATGGAAGGGGAGAGGGAGTGGGAAAGGGGAGGGTTGTGGGTGGGAGGGACGGTATGGGGGGGGGAAGCCATTGTAACCCATGAGTCGTACTTTGGAAATTTATATTCATTTAAAAAAAAAAAAAAAAAACAATAGCTAAGACCTGGAACCAACCCAAATGCCCATCAACAGTAGACTGGATAAAGAAATTATGGGACATGTACTCTATAGAATACTATACAGCAGTCAAAAACAATGAAACCCGGTCATTTGCAACAAGATGGAGGAATCTGGAAAACATCATGCTGAGTGAATTAAGCCAGTCCCAAAGGGACAAATATCATTTGTTCTCCCTGATCAGTGACAACTAACTGAGCACCAAAGAGGAAACCTGTTGATGTGAAATGGACACTATGAGAAACAGTGACTTGATCAGCTCTTGTCCTGACTGTTGATGTACAATGTAATACTTTATCCCTTTTAGTATTTTTTTGTTCTAGTACTATTGGTTGAACTCTGTAATTAACACACAATTATTCTTAGGTGTTTAAATTTTAACTGAAAAGTGATCCCTGTTAAATATAAGAGTGGGAATAAGAGAGGGAGGAGATGTACAATTTGGAACATGCTCAATCCGACTTGCCCCAAACGGTAGAGTTAGAAACGTGCCAGGGAATTCCAATACAATCCCATCAAGGTGGCATGTACCAATGCCATCTCACTAGTCCAAGTGATCAATTTCAGTTCACAATTGATCACACTGATAGGTCCAAGAGTCAAAGGGATCACACAAACAAGACTAGTGTCTGCTAATACTAACTGATAGAATCAAAAAGGGAGAGAACGATCCAACATGGGAAGTGGGATACACAGCAGACTCATGGAATGACAGATGTCCTAAACAGCACTCTGGCCTCAGAATCAGCCCTTAAGGCATTCGGATCTGGCTGAAGAGCCCATGAGAGTATTTTAGGCATGGAAAGCCAAGACACTCTGGGAAAAAAAAGAAGACCTAAATGAAAGATCTCTGAGAGTGAGATCCCAGTGGGAAGAACGGGGCCATCAAAGAAGGAGGTACCTTTCTCTGAAGGGAGGAGGGAACTTCCACTTTGACTAAGACCCTGTCAGAATAAGATCAAAGTCAGTGAACTCAAAAGGCTTCCATAGCCTTGGCAACTCATGACAAGAGCCTAGGGAGATTACTGATGCCATAAACAAGAGTGTCAAATTGTTAAGTCAACAGGAGTCACTGTGTACTTACTCCTCATGTGGGATCTGTCCTTAATGTGTTGTCCAATGCGAAGTAATGCTCTAACTAGTACTGCAACAGTATTTTACACTCTGTGTTTCTGTGTGGGTGCAAACTGATGAAATCTTTACTTAATATATACTGAATCGATCTTCTGTATATAAAGATAATTGAAAATTAATCTTGATGTGAATGGAATGGGAGAGGGAGTGGGAGATGGGAGGGGTGCGAGTGGGAGGGAAGTTATGGGGGGCGGGGGAGCCATTGTAATCCATAAACTGTACTTTGGAAATTTATATTTACTAAATAAAAGTTAAAAAAAAAGGAAAAAAACTGCAAACAAAAATGTTTCCAACACCAACTCTATTAGTGGTGCTCCACATAGAACAAAAATTACATGAAAGGAGAAACAAGACATAAGAAAGTAGATACAGCATTTCAAAAACCTGGCTACCTTATGTGATGATGAACTTCTCTTGGAGGATGCATTTGGTTTCACTACTAAATATAATACTAGATTGACAGCAGTTACAGGAACAGAGCAGATGCCCAACCACGTCAAGTGTGTCTCCAATATTGAGAAACTTTCCAAAAAGAATGATGGAACAAAGGTGCTCAGGATAACAGAAAACACGCATAAAAGATGGCATAAAATAGTCTCTTGATATCAGCATTTTTCATGGTGCTTGCTTGGGTGACTAACTCTCCCGCCCGCAAAGGGAAGGGGAACTACTGCCTCCCACCATCAAGGCACAACGGGCTGCCCTGCTTAACACTTAATCTTATCGATATATTCACTTTAACATTTAATATGATCACTTTAACAAATAAGATGGCATTTTTACCACCAATGTTAGTGGGATTTGGGGTCCCATGACAAGTTTTTAAACTGTACCCTTAGAAGTAAGCCCATAGAACTATATGCTGAACTATACAGCTTTACAGTTACAAACTTCCTCCTCCCTTTCTTATTCTGCCTCTTATTTTTTACTGAGGTCTATTTTCAATTGACTTTATATACATATGATTAACTCTATGTTAAGTAAAGATTTCAACATATAGTATGAAGAAGAGAAAAGAAAAAAATTCAATAAAAAATAAAAAACTGTTCCTCGACAATCAAGATGAGGGCTATTCAATTCATTGTTTCTCAAAGAGTCAATTTCACTTTCTATAGCTTTCATTTTAGGTGTGCTATTATCTCTCACAGATCAGGGAGAACATATAGTATTTATCCCTTTGGGACTGGCTTATTTCACTAAGTTTGAAGTTTTCCAGATTCATCCATTTTGTTGCAAATGACCAGATTTCATTTTTTACTGCTGTATAATATTCCATAGTGTACATATCCCATAATTTCTTTATCCAGTCTTTGGTTGATGGGCATTTAGGTTGATTCCATGTCTTAGCTATTGTGAATTGAGCTGCAATAAACATGGAGGTGCAAACCAGCTCCTTTGTTTACTGATTTCATTTCCCTTGGGTAAATTCCCAGGAGTAAGATGGCTGGGTCATATGGTAGGTCTATATTCAGATTTCTGAGGTATCTCCATACTGTCTTCCGTAGTGGCTTTACTAGTTTATATTCCCACCAACAGTGGATTAGGGTACTTTTTTCTGTACATTCTCACCAGCATTTATTGTTTGTTGATTTATGTATGAGAGCCCTTCTTACTGGAGTGAAGTGAAACCTCATTGTGGTTTATTTTGCATTTCCCTGACAACTAGTGATCTTGAATTTTTTTTCATGTGTCTGTTGGCCATTTGGATTTCCTCTTTTAAAAAATGTCTGTTTATGTCTTTGTCCATCTCTTAACTTGGTTGTTTGTTTTGTTGTTGTGGAGTTCCTTGATCTCTTTGGATATTCTGGTTATTAATCCTTTATCAGTTGTGTAGTTTGAGAATAATTTCTCCTATTCTGTCGGTTGCCACTTTCCTGACTGTTTCTTTTGCTGTACAGAAGTGTCTCAATTTGAATAATCCCATTTGTTAATTTAGGCTTTGACTGCCTGTGCCTCTGGGGTCTTTTCCAGGAATTCTTTGCCTGTTCCAATATCTTGCAGGGTTTCCCCAATGTTCTCAATTAAATTGATGGGGTCAGGTGATAGATTTAGATCTTTAATTCATGTTGAATGGATTTTTGTGTAAGGTGTAAGGTAGAAGTCTTGCTTCATACTTCTGCATGTGGAAATCCATTTTTTTTATTTTGACAGGCAGAGTTAGACAGTGAGAGAGACAGAGAGAAAGGTCTTTCTTCCATTGGTTCACCCCCCAAATGGCTGTTATGGCTGGCGCTGCGCCGATCTGAAGCCAGGAGCCAGGTGCTTCCTCCTGGTCTCCCATGTGGGTGCAGGGGCCCAAGCACTTGGGCCATCCTCCACTGCCTTCCTGGGCCACAGCAGAGAGCTGGACTGGAAGAGGAGCAACCGGGACAAAACCTGGTGCCCATATGGGATGCCGGTGCCACAGGTGGAGGATTAACCAAGTGAACCACGGCACAGGCCCCACCAAAAAAATAAATAAATAAAGACAGAAAAGAACAAATGCAAAAAGAAATGAGGAAGGGAGAGTAATAAATGAAAGAAATAGGGACATATACATAGATATATAGCCACAGACCCACCTACTATGACTAAGGAGTCCAGAAACAAAACAATGGCCACAGGAAGCAAATGCACAGAAAGGAGAGCCTTACAAATTACACAGGACAGCACAATCACTGCCATTAGCTCCCCACCTAAGATGCCTAGGAAATCTGAATAGGGAAATTATTTCATCATTGAAGACAATTTTGATTGCCTTCTAATGTCATCACATAGTGATTCCTGTTAAAAGTTGTCCCTCTGAGACACCATCAGGGAGTTTTGCAATCATAAGGGAGCATCTGTGTTATTTGTTCCAGTTCTTAGGGCACCATATAAATGACAGGAGTGCCCCATCTTACTACACCTACACTGTGAAATATGACTAAATGTAGCTCTTCCATTGTTCTCCTCCAGAATCTCCAATGAACACTCACCGAAGCTCCAGATCCGGAGTCACAGTTACCTGAGGGCAGTGAGTGAAGTCTCCATCAACCGGAGCCTGGACAGCCTGGACCCTGCGGGCTTGCTCACATCACCAAAGTTCCGCTCCAGGAATGAGAGCTACATGCGAGCCATGAGCACCATCAGCCAGGTGAGCACCATCTTCCAGGTGATCGGTGTTGGCCATGAACCAGTAACTGCAGGAGGGTTGATGACAACTGAGAAGGCATGAAGTGGGTAGGTATGAATGCTCACTAATGGATCAGATGGGAACTCCAGTCCAGTGCTGCAAAGAGCGCGCCACATATGTCCAGCTGCAGCAAGCACCTGATAACACCAGTCTACCAGGTGGGAAGGGACCTTCTGCTGGTGAATAAAGCTTAATGGAAGGAGTCCTTAGAAATTAATCTGTAGACAGCACCAGCTAAGTTTTTCATAAGATGTTAATGGATGAGGGTTTGTTATACAATGCTTGAAGGATACAAACACAGGATCAATATCACTGGCAAAACCAAGGCAGCGTCTAATCATTAAACACCAGCATAAAAGCAAGTCCCAGGCACAGGAAACAAGACATGATCTGTTTACCACAACTACACCCTAGCTAACTGTGCACCTTGGTAACAAGATTGAATCCCACTCCTAAGAAGTGGTACACAGGCCAGCGCCGCAGCTCACTAGGCTAATCCTCTGCCTTGCGGCGCCAACACACCGGGTTCTAGTCCAGGTCGGGGCGCCGGATTCTGTCCCGGTTGCCCCTCTTCCAGGCAAGCTCTCTGCTGTGGCCAGGGAGTGCAGTGGAGGATGGCCCAAGTGCTTGGGCCCTGCACCACATGGGAGACCAGGAGAAGCACCTGGCTCCTGCCATCGGATCAGCGTGGTGCGCTGGCCGCAGTGTGCCAGCCGTGGCGGCCATTGGAGGGTGAACCAACGGCAAAGGAAGACCTTTCTCTCTGTCTCTCTCTCTCTCACTGTCCACTCTGTCTGTCAAAAAATAAAAATAAAAAATAAAAAAAAGAAGTGGTACATAGGACTAGGGATGCAGACTTGATGAAGGTGACTTCATACTGCATCCAAAATACTTGGCTAAAATGCACTAGTCTGTGCCTGCAAAAGCCTCAGAGTAAAGGAAATGGAATCAGGGATGGAGAAAAGCTTTCAGGGGTCACCAAAGGAGAAGGTGGTACCTTGTGTAGCCTCCTCTGAAAGGACATAAAAAAGAGTATTTTTTTAAATGAATTTAAACTTACATCATACTTTTTTCTAAAATATTTATTTTATTTATTTGAAAATGGAGTTACAGAGAGAGGTAGATCCAGAGAGAGAGGTCTTCCATCCTCTGGTTGACTCCCCAAATGAAAATCAAAGTAATGACTACAACCAGGCTTCTAGAGAAGTGCGGAGAGGGAGCCAGGGACAGCTGGCCTGCGGGATGCTTTTCTTTAAAGAAATCTCCAGTAGCATTCGGATCTGTCTGTGCAAGCTAATTTGTCCAATGACACACACTATTCCAACTCAAGAGAAGGGAGTGGAGTCTCATTTTGACACATTTTGGCCTTGTTTTATCTTTATTTTTCACAATACATTCATCCATCTTCATCCGTGGGGGATTAGATGTCCAGGACCCTTGAAGACACCAGAATCCATGGATGCTCAAGTCCCTTATATAAAATGGTGTGATATTTGCATAGAATCTAGTCACACCCTCCCGACGACCTTAAATCACCTCTGAATTTCCTATAATCTGTAATTCAATGTAAATAGTTGTTATACTGAATTGTATAGGAAATAATGACGAGAAAAAAAAGCCTGTACATGTTTGATAAGGACAGCATTTTGTTCCCAGATATTTTTGATCTGCAGATGGTTGACTCTGCAGCTGCAGAACCTACAGACATGGAGACTGACTATAAATAATGTAATATTTAAAACTTCTTAGAGCACATCTTTATTCTGCACAGCCTGATGGTCACCTAGTCTTCAGGAACTATAAACTGGTCTATGAATCCAGCTGAAATACATACAGAATACACCATGGGTTTAAAAATTTTTGTCAGAAAAATATGTATACAAGCTCATGACTTTCATACTCTTAAATTGGTTAAAACCTAGAAACATATAATTTTCCACTAGCAGGTCATTATGCCTGTGCATCTGACTGCTCTGAGTCCCTATGCTGTGACTCTGACCTTCCTTGGGACAACATCACGTCCCGTTGGCAGCCCAGGAAATATCAACAAATCACTGTGTAGGCACATGAGAGCATTAATGCTGTGTTGAAGCAAGCACTGGTGTAGTCATTTGCCCTTAAGGAAAGAATGACCATCGTAAATGGATTCTTAATGATACATCATTTTTCTAGTTCCATGTTCAATTTTCAAGTTCAACACAGTATCTTTAAGGATAATTTCAGACTTCCTTTACTGTTGCAATGTTGCTATTATTCAAAGGAAAATAGTTTCCTCTTCAAAGCAATATAACCATAAATACTCTAGACTTTTCAAAAAGGAATTGGTTTTTATGGTGTTAGAGATACTACTCTCATAGATCATTAGTAGAAGCTATAATATTACATAATTTAAGTACATTATATCCCATTTCTATTTACCTGATGTATTATTCCTCAAAGGCTTCTAGAAGGATCAAGGTTTTATAAGCCTAGAATAACAAAATTGTTTGCTTCTGCCATTCATAACTCATAGAAGTACAAGATCCCTAAAAAGATTGTACTTTAATGATAGAGAAAAATTGATCATCTTTTCATGTGTTTATTCTTTTTCTGTGGTTTTCTATATTCTGCTATATATACATCTAATAAGCAGAGGCTTTTCAAAGTAAGATTGGAATAGAAAGAATTACAGAGACTAGATTTTGTTTAAGTCTTTCATGTAATAATTGACATTACCAAGTAAATTTATGTCTCAATTTATTTCTAGTCCAGATATTAAGTATCTTTATCTATAATAGTAACCAGAAAGCCTACAAATGCATTTTTCTGGCAACATATTAGATTTCTATATATTTTTAGAATAATTATAAGTAGGCAGCTATTGGACCTTGTGGTAATACCAGCAGCTTAGCTGTGTTTTTTTTCCTATTTATTATTGATTTATTTATTTGAGAAGCAGAGAGACAGAGAGCAAGAACTCCCATTGGCTGCTTCACTCCCCAAATGCCTGCAATGTCTGGGATTGGGCCAAGCCAAAGCTGGGAGCTAGAATCACAGTCCAGGTCTTCTGCATGGATGGCAAAGAACTCAATTACTTAAGCCCATCATCACTGCTTCTCAGGGTCTGCGTTGACAAAACTGGAGTCAGGAGCCAGACCCAAATATGAAATTCTAGTACTCTGAACTGGGACGCAGGTGACTTAACTGGCATCTTAACCGCTAGGTTCAACACCCTAGCCAGGACTTTTGATTTAGTTCACCCCTCCAGCGTGTTTGTGTGTGTGTGCACGTGTGTGTATGTGTGTGTATAAACCTATATGAATTGGTATCTATGGGTACACAGCTACCTGGTAACAGAATATAACAAACTCTATTATCCTAACTCTTAACTGGCAAGTCACTTCAGTGCCTTCTAGTATTGGTAATGGTGACATTGCTAATAGTAGCTATCCGAATGCACTACTTACCATTTATTTATTGATTACCATGGCAGAAGCACTGCATGTTATCTCATTGATTTCTCATCCACTCTGTAAGAAGAATCATTTTTAATCTATGAAACTCAGTCACAGAGAATTATAATAAGTTCTCGTTCTCTTTCATCCCACTACAGTACATTATACCAAGAATAGTTTCCTTTGCAAAGCACTACCTCTATATATGCTTTAGACTTTGCAAAAAAGGGCTGGCTTTTATGATGTTAGACATTCCCTGCCTTGCAAAATAATGTCTACCAGTTTTGAAATGTCTACCATGCATGTGACTAGAAATATAATAAACATTTTTTACATTGGTTGTTATCCTTTACAAAGTTCTGTGAAGTAGGTGAAACTCAGAGAATTCAAGTAAATTATCCATTATATAGTACAAAAATCATTACTTAAAAAGCTTCTTCAACCCATTCAAAAAATAAATCCCAAGTGGATTTAAAACCCTGGACTAGAACCTGCAGTACCGGTGCCGCAGCTCACTAGGCTAATCCTCCGCCTGCAGGAAGGCAGTGAAGGATGGCCCAAGTGCTTGGGCCCTGCACCAGCATGGGAGACCAGGAGGAAGCACCTGGCTCCTGGCTTCGGATCAGCACAGCGCTCTGGCCATAGTGGCCATTTGGGGAGTGAACCAACGGAAAGAAGACCTTTCTCTCTGTCTCTCTCTCTCACTGTCTAACTGTGCCTGTCAAAAAAAAAAAGAAAAAAAAAAAACCTAAACAGTGACAAAAATATTAAAAAGAAAAATATATGTATGGTACCCTCATGAGAATTGTTACTTATCATAAAACAAGAATTAGGAGTGGGTGTTCAGCACAGCAATTGGAACACCTCTTGAGATACCCACATGTCATATCAGATTGCCTATTCTGAGTCCTGACTCCTCCACTTCCAATCCAGCTTTCTGCTAATACATACCCTGAGGGGCAGCAGGTAACGGCTAAAATACTTGGGGCCACCCACACTGGAGACATGGGTCGAGTTCCAGGATCCTGGCTTCAGCCTGGCCCAGGCCTGGCTGTTGCAGGCATTTGGGGAGTAAACCAGTGGATGAAAGATTCTCTCTCTCTCTCTCTCTCTCTCTCTCTCTCTCTCTTTCTCTGCCTTTCAAATCAAATAAAATACATGCATACATAAAAAAATTATGAGAGAGAGAGAGAGATCTTCCATCCATTAATTTACTTCCAACCACTTGGGCCATCATCCACTGCTTTCCCAGGCACATTAGCAGGTAACTGCAGTGGAAGTGGAGCAGCCAGGACTCAAACGAGCACTCTGATAGGTGACGCTGGCATTGCAAAAAGAGACTTAACACACAGTGCCATGATGCTGGCCCCAAATCAATGATTTTTATATGCAGAAAAACAGTCTTTCATGTGTAAACGATATAGGTAAATTGTAAGCTTGGATAAAAACAGAGAAAACTGTGCCTATGAGCCTAGCCTGAGGAATTTACTAGTCAATGAGCTTCAGACAATCAAAATGACCAGACATAAGAAATTGTTAGTTGTTGTCAAAGAGATCACATAAACAAGACCAGTGTCTGCTAATAATAACTAATAGAATTAAAAAGGAGAGAACAATCCAACATGGGAAGCAGGATACACAGCAGACTCATAGAATGGCAGATGCCCTAAACAGCACTCTGACCTCAGAATCAGCCCTTGAGGCATTCGGATCCAGCTTAAAAGTCCCTGAGAGTTTCCAGGCATGGAAAGCCAAGACACGTGGCCAAAAAAATGACCTAAATGAAAGATCTCTGTGAGTGAGATCCCAGTGGAAAGAACGGGTACCTTTCTCTGGAGGGAGGAAAGAACTTCCACCTTGACTACGGCCTTGTCTAAATAAGGTCAGAGTTTGTGAACTCAAGAGGCTTCCATAGCCTTGGTAGCTCATGACAAGAGCCTCAGATGATTACTGACATCATAAATAAGAGTGTCAATTGTTAAATCAACAACAGGAGTTACTGTGCACTTACTCCCCATGTAGGATCTCTCTGTCCTTCATGTGTTGTACTATGCAAATTAACAGTAAAACTACTACTCAAACAGTACTTTATACTTTGTGTGTCTGTGTAAGTGCAAACTGTTGAAATCTTTACTTAGTATATACTAAGTTGATCCTCTGTATATAAAGATAATTAAAATGAATCTTAAGAATGGGATGGGAAAGAGAGTAGGAGATGGGATGGTTTGCGGGTGGGAGGGTGGTTATGAGGGGGAAAACCACTATAATCCAAAAGTTGCACTTTCAGAAATTATATTTATTAATAAAAGTTTAAAAATAAATAGATAAAGAAAGAAAGAAAAGAAAACATAAAAAAAGAAACAATGAAGCTGACGCCATGTCTCACTTGGTTAATCCTCCGCCTGCGGCACCGGCATCCCATTTGAGCGCCAGGTTCTAGTCCCAGTTGCTCCTCTTCCAGTCCAGCTCTCTGCTGTGGCCCGGGAGTGCAGTGGAGGATGGCCCAAGTACTTGGGCCCCTGCACCCACATGGGAGACCAGGAGAAGCACCTGGCTCCTGGCTTTGGATCGGAGCAGTGCCAGCCATAGCAGCCATTAGGGAAGTGAACCAACAGAAGGAAGACCTTTCTCTCTATCTCTCTCTCTCACTGTCTGTAACTCTGCCTGTCAAATAAATAAATAAAAATCTTTAAAAGAAACAGTTGTAAACATTACAGGTATAGTTATTTTTAAAACTAAGACTAAATAAGGGTTCAGAGAAAGGGAGGAGCACACAGTTTCTATGCTGTGAGAATATAAAATCAGCTCAGCTAAATTTAAATAAGTTAACAACAGAAGGACTACTTGCAAAATAAAATTGTGAACCATTCTCAATAATCAGATATGAGCAGTGGTAGTATTAGTGTCATTCCCAGATCATAGTGCACATATTGTGGAATAAAACAAAGAAACAGTTGTAACATATTCCAAGTCCATCATCTCCTTGGTTCTTCAGAACCTGCATCTTTAGTATGGAATAAAGATAAAAGTAAACGTATAATACAGAAGAGGTTACACGAAAGGCCCTGAGACTGAATTTGCATAGGGCATGGTGATAGCCTCGTTCTACCCACTGAAAAGGCCTCAGAATACTGTTAACCTAGCAGTGACGTGAACCATCCTGTTGCCCAAATCGTGTTCCTGTACCCTGTTTTGCACTGAAAGAAGGGCTTTGTGGAAATCTGCTGTTGCCAGAACTGGACAGGAAAGGTATGAATTCCTTATCATCCCAAATAGCAAGGAGGCTATCAAAGACTACAGGTTTCATGTCCAAAGGGCTCAGGAGCCAACCCACTAGGCTCCCACTGGAAAGGTGAGACAAATTTGGATTCGTTAAGAATAATTGAAGTAGACTTAAACCATCAATAATTTTAAACCTTTGAGTTGTTTTTATATTTTTAAAAATTGAGCACCTTTGGAAGATAGGAGGGAACAAACTTATAAACAGGAGAAATTAAGCATTTATGTTGCTATTCTTATTGAACTAAATCATTTAGTAACCACATAATCTAAGAGAAGAGGCATTTGTTTATTAAAATACTACATATAAAAATCATTTATTTTGGGCCAGCATCATGGCACAGTGTGTTAAACCTCTGCTTGCAATGCCAGCATCTGCTATCAGAGTGCTCGTTTGAGTCCTGGCTACTCCACTTCCACTCCAGTTACCTGCTAATGTGCCTGGGAAAGCAGTGGATGATGGCCCAAGTGGTTGGAAGTAGAAGAGTGGATGGAAGATTTCTTTATCATAATTTTTTATGTATTACGTACTTTATTTGATTTGAAAATGAAAGTGTTATTTTTAAATTGGAAAGAATCCTCATGAAGAAGAAAGGCAGGCGTCTCTCCACTGACTTCCTTAAGGTAACCGGTCACCCTTATCCAAAGTTGTCAAAAAGGAGCCATTACTACACTGCATCATCAGATAGCACAAAATGAGATGGTCAAAAATTATAGTATTTTTGGTATGTGTCCTAATTACAGTTAATCTGTTAAATCCTAATTAGTCATGAGTTGGGTATTACGAAAAAGAGAGATATGAAGTCCTGGGAAATAAAATTGTTCCCAAATCTCCATCAAGTCTGCTTCAAAGGGAGAAATCAAGCAGAGCATCTAGTTGGTCCTATTTTCTCTTAAGTGGTGCTCAAACCCAGTGTAAGTTACATACAGATATATAGATAGATAGATAAAGATACAGCTATATATATAAAGATAGATAGATAGATAGATAGATTCCTAAAAAAAGAGGGCCTCATTTTTAAATACACTTAGAACAATTTGTGGACTGCATCAGCTTTTTATAAAGAAGGGTGAACCCCTATAAATAATTTGAAAATCTCAATGGTGCTTTCCAAGGTTCTGACATATCTCAGATGACTCTTTTTGTACAGTTAGTTTCTTCCCTGAAAATATACAGCATCGTTCCACAGTTCGCACCCAAGCTTCAGTCAACACCAAAATTTTTGATGAACTAGACACTTCAAAAAGCACAATAAAAAATGCTAGTTTCTGAAATGTTTGTGCTAAAAAAAAAAAAAAGTTACACTGAAATGTGAACTCTGACCATTCTTCTTTAAGTCCTCCTTTATAAATAAGAATCATCACTTCCGAGTGCATTGAAAGACTTCTAGCCCCCTGCTTGCTTGCATTCTAAAAACCATGTTTTTGGGGGGATCATTAGCTGGACGCCTCTCAATGATAGTCCGTAACATAAAGGAGATAAAACGCCTTTGAGTTTAATGTGACTAGATGCTGCTCTGTCTCCGGGGGGATTCAAGTTGGGGCAGGGCAGGTGGAGAACCAGGTGCAAGCGTTACCGCCCCCGTTTCGTCCCCAGGTGAGCGAGATGGAAGTGAACGGGCAGTTCGAGTCCGTGTGCGAGTCCGTGTTCAGCGAGCTGGAGTCTCAGGCCGTGGAAGCGCTGGATCTGCCCGTGCCCGGCTGCTTCCGCATGCGGAGCCACAGCTACGTGCGCGCCATCGAGAAGGGCTGCTCCCAGGACGACGAGTGCGTGTCGCTGAGGTCGTCGTCGCCGCCGCGCACCACCACCACCGTGCGGACCATCCAGAGCAGCACGGGTGAGTGAGCCGGCCTTGGCGCTGCCTGCGCGCCCCTGTGCTCGCAGACTGCTCCCTCGCCACCCTCACACACGCGGCCAGTAAGAGAAGGCGGCGCATGTCGCGCCTTTGCTTCCTGCCTGCCTCTAGCGCCCCTCTGGCCACATTCCCACACATCCCTTCCGTCACCATCACCATCTCAGGGATCAGCAAGGGGAAATAGCTACAGCACCACAAGGGACAAACAGCACGGCCGGAGGGCTTACCCAGTCCCCACACAGCAGCCTAGGAGCCAGCAAACTGATCCCATCCGACCCCCACGCTCAGTAATTGCGCTTTGGCTCTTAGAAGTGTGACCCTAAATGAACCAGACACCCTGAATTCTGTGCATCACAGAACTGGAATGCTATGTTTAATTTCAAGATAATTGCAAAATGACTTTTCCCAAAGACCTGAAATATCACGATGAAAAAATAAGAAGAAAGAAATGGATGACTCAGTAATATTAATTGAACGCTTTATGAGTTTTTTTATTATAACAGAAATCAGGCTTATTTCATTATTTTAAAACTTTCTGTCATATGCAAATAGCACCTCCTTTGCCTTCTAAACTGTTTTTAGGCTTATGTGAATACACTAGATTTTTATCAGATTTTAGGCCCAAAATTGCGTAACTAGTTTCCATGACACTGAAGCCTATACAAGTAATATAGCCTTGGGCTAGGTATCACAATGGGTATGTATCTTTTTATATTTATATAAAATTTGGATTCTAAGAAGAAAATCCTGCCATATTAACTAGGATTGACTTTATGGTTAAATTCAGCATAACTCCAGTAGATAGGTTTATAAGAAAATCATCCATCAAACCTAGAATCAAGGATAATAATGATTAAATTAGAAGAACCTGTGCCAGAAGATTAGTATTATTCAATGTGAGTTCTATGCACATCAAATGTCAGTAATTATCATTAAGCATGAAACTTTTGCAGTCTTAACAGTTGATAGATCCTGAAACCCGAATTAAGGAGAGATAGGGATTGAAGTAAGAATTCTTTTTAAGTGCTTAGATGTTTAACAAGAAAAACTCACTCTTGACCACTGCAAACTGAGACTGATAGAAAAGCAGTGCTTCCAGACACCACACTGGCTCAGCAGCTCAGCAGGAGCTCAACCCAGACTCGAACCCAGGCTGCCACCGTCAGAGCAGAGATCACAGGTGCACGCTCTTGCTCACTAGGCAGTCCTCCAAGACCAGCCACAGACGAGATTAATTAGATAAGATTGATTCATGAAGAGAAAAAGTGCTTTTTAGAGAAGTCAACCATGAGCATATTCACGTGTGTTTGTATTCATACAATAAATGTAATTTTGAAGGTCTGCCCTGTGCTTCTGGCATATCGCTGTGTCTTTAAGTGTTTTGTATTGTCACACCCCTCACCGCCCACACAACCACTCCCCAGTGTCTGGTCCGTTCCTATCTATAATAACCTCATTGTCTGCTGGTTGAAATTGCTCCTTAACTACACAAAATGCAGATCCTTGCCCAGAAATGACAAGGGGCACTCTCAGGAGAAGTAGCAGGATTGACCCTCTCCTTCCCTCTCGGGGGCAGCAGGTGGATAAAGTGGGCAGAGACTCCACATGGGTTTTCTCCTCTTATTTTGTTGTTTTGACATTAAGAAGCAATTGGCTTGAACTTCCTGCACCAGTTCTTGTTCCGTTCCTTTCAACTCCAAGTACCCACAAGTCTGACTTTCCAAGGCTGTTTCCAGATACCCTGGAGAGGCTCCCAGAGTTCAAATAATAGGGTTGCCAAATAAAGTCCAGGTCACCAGCTAAATTTTAATTTCACTTAATTGGTGAATGGTTTTTATAGTGTAAGTATACCAAATATCATATGAGAGATTCTCAAACTACAAAAATGTTTGTGATATTAGTAGTCTTTGCTAAAGTCCAACAAAGCTATCAGAGAAGGAGGTGAGTAGGTTTCTAGGAGGATGTCCTTCATTGTAGCATTTAGAATCTGAACTGAACCTGAGGGACTTTAGTGGGCAAGCCTATGTGGTAGAACATCCAAAACAGGGAGAAGTGAGTGGCAACTGCAGGTGGTGATTGTATCTGATGCTTCTTGGGTCCCATGAGTCTTGTTCTAAGTGCAGGGCCACCTCCATCTACTGCTGTCTTTATTGAAGAGGGGCCTGGCTCCAGGCCTGGCTGCTCCACAAGCATTTGGGGACAGGAAGATGTGATTTTTCCCCCCTGGAAAGAGTGAAGTATAAAATGATGAATTATTGCACAGGGCAGGGAGATCCCTTACTCATCAACAGCATTATGATATATGATGTTTGCAGTCATGGAAAAAGAAATGAGTACTAAACCATGAAAGTAGATTCTCAAGCCCATTAGGTAGTTAAGAGTGTAATGTTAAGAATTCCAGTATCCCCTGTCACGGGTTCTCTATTTAGAAATTCACTATTTATGATACAGTAAGATTCTATTCTGTATTATGTTCCTCCCCACACTACTCCTATGTGCTTCTCTCTCCCTCCCTTCCCTTCCCCATTTCTTTTTTATTTTCTCCCCACATGATCTCAGTACTACATTTATTTCCTTCTTCTACCGTTTACTTCTTACATTCAGTAAAATACAATTTCTTATTGAAAATACAGAAAATCAGTTCTTTAGTAAGAGGACCTTACTAATGTTTGAAAGAATGTGCTCATATTTGAGATCAGGAAAGTACTTTGCTCTAATTCTAATGATTTTCCCATGTGCACAGGTCAAATGTACACCAGCTTTAGTAGGGTTTGGGGTAGGTTTCTCCTTTTGCTTCTCTTCCTTAGCTCCTTATTCTTGAATTCTCGCAACAGACTCCGTTTTTCTTAAACTTCCCTTTATCCTTAAAAAAAAGCATTTTTTTTTCAAATGTAATTATTAGGTATAACTTTTCCCCCATAACCATCCATATTCTAAGTTTTTGGTTTTTGTATTCACCAATTTTAATTGTCCAGATTTTCAAGCATATATACTGTGAAACTTTCTCTTCCAGCCTTGACTTTTATTCGTAGTAGCAAAATGAAATCAGACAGAAGCCCACAAGAGTCTGATTCCGCAGTAGAGTTGTGAAGCTGGGTTGGACTCCTAAGTGGCCAAAGGGATCCTCTAGTGCTGTTGGCAGGTGAGCATGGGTGATCGGAGATACCTACGCAAGCAGGGAGTATCAGGAGCAGAGCTCAGGAGAGCTGTGCAACTATGCTTCCTTTGATTTATGGGCTTTTTGGCTTACCTTGCAATGATGGAATCTTATATTCTCTCGGCCTGTAATCTACTTCAAAGATCCAGCTATTCCTCTATTGAATAGATTCAGCACATTTTTATAAGTTTTCTTTCATTTTTAGTTGACATATAATAATTGTACATATTTATAGAGTACAGTTGATGTTTTGATACATATATACATTGCGTCTTGACTAAATCGGAGGAGTTAGCATACCTACCATCTCCAATATTTATCATTTCTTTGTGATCAAAACATTCAAAATCCTCCCTTCTAGCTATCTTAAAATGTATAACACATTATTGTTAGCTGCAGTTGAAACTGGTGCCAGAAATATACACAGGCCTCCACTCCAGAGTACTGGATCAAACTCGCCCACTATGGAATATAGCAATGAAATTTTATGCATTTAAGTATGAATTTTCTTTTTACTTCCTATGCAGAGCTGTTCTATAAACTATTGAAAGCATTACCACATTGTAGCTTGTTAGTAGCCTAAATATGCAGAAACATTTTATTGTAATCATAAATAGATGCACACCAGAAAGATATAAGATGCATGCTTCCAAGCATATGGAAAAGAATGTCAGAGGGGTGGGCAGTGTGCTACAGAAAATTAAGCTGCCACTATTTGGGACACAAATATCCCATATTGGAGTGCCCGGGATCAAGTCCCACCTCCCCTCCTCATCCTGCTTCCTCTAACTCACACTCTGGGAGACAACAGATGCTGGCTGTATTTGGGTCCTGCCACCCCCGTGAAAGAACCAGATGGAGTTCCTGGCTCCTGGTTACAGCCTGGCCCAGCCCTAGCTGTTGCTGCCATTCGGAGAGTGAACCAGAGGATGGAGAATCAATTAATCAATCTCTCTCTCTCTTTCTCTCTCTTTTCCCCTCTTTCTCTATTCCCACCCCCATGTTCTGCCTTTCAAATAACTTAATTAATTCTTAAAAGAAAGGAAAAAAGACCCAAAAGAATTACTTGCCGTGGTTATATGGGGAGCATCAGATGAGAGAGAGAGAAAGAGAGAGAGAGAGAGAGGTTTGTTTTGTTTTTTAATAAGCATTTATTGCTTTTTTTTGTTTGAAAGCCAATATAATATTGGAATAAAAATAATATTCTTGGGACCAGTGTTGTAGCACAGAGATCTAAACTGCCACACCTGCATTGCCAGCATCCCATATCAGAGTTGCTGGTTCATGTCCCAGCTGCTCTGCTACTATTCCTGGGAAGGCAGTGAAAGATAGCCCAACTGCTTGGACCCCTGCCACCCACGTGAGAAAGCCAGGTGGGGTTCCAGGCTCTGGCTTTCCCTGGCTGTTCATTTGGGTAGTAAACCAGTAGTGGAGAACTCTCATTCTCATTCTTTCTCCCCCTCCCTCCCTCCCTCCCTCCCTTCAAATAAATAAATTATTTTTAAAAGAATACTCTGACAAAAGTAGGCAAATTATCATGATACATGATTCTCTGGCCTTTTAAGGAAATTCTTCATTTTTAAATTGTAAGATTTTGAAAGAAGCTTTATGTAGTAATAATGTTTTGTAAAGAGTATATTCATTTGTCACACTATTGCTCCTGAAGTGTGACCTGTGTGCTATATTATTTTCTTATTAGGGGAATCACTTAAAATAAGATGGAAATAAACTGGTTTCCATCACTGCTCCCCCCAAGAAGGGGCATAGGGCCCTGAGTACAGGGTACCCAGTGTTTGCCAGAGAGGAAAGCAATAGTTTACCTTTT